CTCTCCCTGAACTGTCAAGGTTACCCTGTCGTCTTGGCTGCGGTTCTTGCCTCGCTAACGGGCATTGGTTCAGCAGCCGGAGTGTAAACCCCATCAGGTCAGTCCTGCCCAGAGCTGCCCAGTGGCCTCCGCCACACACGAATAAAATGCACAGTCCTTACCACGGCCGGTGGCACCTGTACCCCCGGCCCTTAGCTCACTCCCAGCCTCATCTCTTTTTTTCTTTTTTTGAAGATTTTTATTTATTTGAAAGGCAGAGTTATAGAGAGGCAGAGAGTGAGAGATTGAGAGAGAGAGGTCTTCCATCCACTGGTTCACTCCCCAAATGTCCTCAATGCCCAGAGCCTGGCTTACCCGAAGCCAGGAGCCAGGAGCTTCTTCTAGGTCTCCCACGCAAGTGTAGGGGCCCAAGCACTTGGGTCATCTCCTGCTGCTTTCCCAGGAGCAGGGAGCTGGATTGGAAGTGGAACAGCCGGGTCCCAAACCAGTGGCCATGTGGGATGCCAGTGTTGCAGGTGGAGGTGTAACCCACTGTGCCACAGCGTCCTGCCCATTTTCTGGTCACTCTTTAAAACCAGTGCCTGGGCTGGCGCCGCGGCTCACTAGGCTAATCCTCCGCCTTGCGGCGCCGGCACCCCGGGTTCTAGTCCTGGTCAGGGCACTGGATTCTGTCCCGGTTGCTCCTCTTCCAGGCCAGCTCTCTGCTGTGGCCCGGGAGTGCAGTGGAGGATGGCCCAAGTGCTTGGGCCCTGCACCCCATGGGAGACCAGGAGGAAGCACCTGGCTCCTGGCTTCAGATCAGCGTAGTGCGCCGGCCGCAGCGGCCACTGGGGGTGAACCAACGGTAAAGGAAGACCTTTCTCTCTCTCTCTCTCTCTCTCTCACTGTCCACTCTGCCTGTCAAAACAAAACAAAACACCAATGCCTTTCTCTCAGTCCAGGGGGAATTGATAAAACTGGGGGAGTGGGCTTTCTCCCCTTGATGTACTGGGGGCTAACTCAGTTGCCGGCCCAGGCCCAGCTTTGACAAGAACTGTGGTGAGCAGCTTCCTCAGTGCGCTCTCGTGGGCTGTGGGTGCGCTGGGAGGTCCAGAGCCTTGGAGCGGCAGAGGGTTCAGTCGTGAGCCCCGTCCCCGGCAGCTCAGCCTCGGTCAGCCCAGGCGAGGTGCACTGGGCCGCTGTACCCTTTCTGCCGCGCGCCACTTGTGGGCCTGCCCGCGTACGGAGACAAGGCTGCCTTGTTAGGGATCCGGTGTCAGTCGTCAGTGGGGTTGGAGTTTGTTGTTGTTGACACATCCCCTGCAGACGGCAGGCGGCTGGCTGACGGTGGAAAAACACTGGGCGGGGACGCGGTGGTGGGCTCCTGACCCCTGGGACTCCCTGGGAAGTGTCTTCCTGCAGTGTCCTGGACTGGAGGTCCCCACTTCGTCGGGATGAGTTGGACTGCCTCCGTGCTTCTTGGCCTTCTGAATCTCTTACCTTTGTTGAAAGCCGTGGCAAAACAAACCCAGAGCTTCAGCCAGCAGCTCAGGAAGCCACAGTAGCCAGTGAGATAACGCCTGGCCCTTTTTTCTAATATTTATTTCTTTATTTGAAAGGCAGAGGCAGAGAGAGATGGATCTTCCATCTGCTGGCTCACTCCCCAAATGGCTGCAGCGGACAGGGCTGGGCCAGGCCGAAGCCAGGAGCCAGGCCCTCCGTCGAGCTCTCCCATGAGGGTGGCAGAGGCTCACGTACTTAGGCCATCTTCCTCTGCTTCCCAGGTGCATCACCAGGGAGCTGGGTCAGAAGCAGGATAGCTGGGACTCGAACCGGCACTCAAGCAGCAGCTTGACCTGCTGCGCCACGACACTGGCCCCAGGGCCTGGGCCTCTAAGGGCCTGTCCCATCCAGCCCCACCTGCCTGCCCCGTTCCTCTGCTTCCAGCTACACAGGGCCTCTGCACGTGCTGCCCCTCCACCCAGAATGCTCCTAGCCTTCTACGCGGTGGACGTCCCTAATTACATGAGGGGACCCTAAAGATGGGCCTCCCGTGCTCTGAGCTGCTCTGCGCCCACCATGCATCTCAGGCGTGCTCCCGAAGCTCCGCACCGGTGCTCCTGGGGGCAGCCGGGCCCCTCCAGCTGGGACACGGTGAGTGCCATCAGCGGGTGTGCGAGTGTGTCCTCGGAGAATCCCTGCCTTTCCTGTGACACACCTCACACGAGATGCCTCTGCCTTCGATGGTTTCCGCCAGGGCCGGGCCGGGCAGCCACTTCAAAGCAGCGTTCAGGGGACACAGAGAAGTGGCGCTCAGAGTCCGTGGCTCGGCGCTCAGCCGGGCCTGACCTCCAGGCTGCTTGTCCCTTTGTTGACGTCCTGGACGGCACTGGGACTCCCACTTGGAACATTCCCACAGTGCTTGGCGCTTCCTCGTATTGTTGTATTTTTCTCCAGGCGGGAAATGACCAACCTCAGGCTTTCTCCTAGCAGCCAAATTCCATGCACAAAGCTGCTTGCCGGCTCCTGGTACCCGCCCGGGCCCAGCCCCTGTCTCCGCGGCGCTGGGTGGGTGAGCGGCCTTCCTTCTCCACTCTTCTGGCACAGAGTGAGCCGGACCGAGGCTTCCCAGCATGCACCAGCACCTTGCGTATGGTGGCGGCTGTCCCTGAAATGCTGCAGATGTTAGCAGCCACAGTGTCACCAGGGGTCTGTGTCGCTTGCCACAGTCCAAGTGTTAGTCCTATGGAACAGATGTCGGTGAGTGGGATTTTTAATCCCAGCAAGGGAGTGAGTTGTTTACCAGAATGCTGCAGCCGCTCTTACTGTGGTGTGGGGGGAGTGCTGGGGTGGGAGCAGTTACTGTTTCTTCAGTGTATTGTATCCAAAGCTTGGAGGTTTATAGGAAAGAACAGTAAAAGCGGCAACAGTAGCTATTTATTGAGTGACCATTTGTGAACACTTTTTAAAAAATATTTATTTATTTGAAAGGCAAAGTTACAGACAGGCAGAGAGAGAGAGAGAGAGAGAGAAGGAGAGGTCTTCTATCTGCTGGTTCACTTGCCAAATGGCCGGAGCTGTGCCAATCTGAAGCCAGGAGCCAGGAGCTTCTTCCGGGTCTCCCATGTGGGTGCAGGGGCCCAAGGACTTGGGCCATCTTCCACTGCTTTCCCAGGCCACAGCAGAGAGCTGGATCGGAAGTGCAGCAGCCAGGTCTTGAACTGGGCTCATATGGGATGCTGGCGCTTCATGCCAGGGCGTTAACCCGCTGCGCCACAGCACCGGCCGGATGAGCAATTCTTAAGAGAAGGCCGTTCCATTTATCCTACCCCCACCTCAAGCGTCTGTGTTGGGAGTCCCTTTAGGGGCTGTGATTTTCCCCCCAGGAAGCTTATCAGCATCCTCATCTCAACACCATTCTCTGAAGGATTTCCAGTTCATTTTGAAAGTTCACTATGTCAGTAAATTCGTGTTTGGAACTTGAGATGTGTTTGCTTGTGGAAGTGCTGTTAGGGATGCATTGGCTCCCAGCTGAGAAGTGGCGGAGCCCGACTTGGGCCCAGGCCCAGGAACTGTGACCTGTCACTCTGAAACTGCCACCAGCAGGTTTCCTGATGTCAAGGACTTTACAGACAGTGGGGAAAAGAAGGACTCGATGCACCTGCACGGCCAGGAGGCTGCAGGGCGAGGGTAGGGGAAGGTGGATGGCAGTGGTCAGCCCTGCCCTCTGAGAGCCCATTCATGGGTTAGAAACCCGGGGTAACCCATTCTAGGGGCTGGGGGCAGTGGGCTGCAGAATTCTCCTATGTTGATTCCTTCATCTGTCTACCTGTTATTCAACAGAGGGTTATTAGGCAGCCATGTATGCCAGGTATTCCACCGTGCTGGGCAGCGCCTGGGAAAAGCAGTTGATAAGTTGTTTGCTAATTGTGTGTAAAGTAAAACTTCATGTAGAAGGAGGCAGTCTAGGCGGGCTCTTGAGCAAAGCCTTTTTGATCTGCCATGGTTTTGAAGATGCAGGAAGCTCTATATCTTGTGGAAGGAATGAGGTCATGTCATATCTGGCATTGAAAACTTGCCTGAAGAAAACTGTGACGGTATTTAGTGGGAGAGATACGTGAACTATCTTTGGAATTTATCAAAAGTGTGGAGGGAGGTTCTGGCTGGGGCAGAGGCAGGCCCTGCGTTTGAGTTGGCTGGGTTACCACCTGTTGGGTTCAGTGCGCTCCTGGGGTGCTGGGGGTTGGTCCCTTGTGTTTCTGCAGTGTGGTGTTGCAGTTTGATTTGGGGGGAGCTGAGGTTCATGCGTTTGCTCTTTCCTGTCTGATCACTGCGGAGGTGAGAACAGGCGTACTGTTTAGCCACGGGGGGAATTTCACTGACTTTATAAGAAGGATTTCTCTACTAGTAGATCAAAATATGCAGCTTGGCCCTTGCAGAGGTGTGGCTTTGGCTTCCCTCATTTTGCGCATGTTGGCCAGGTTATTCCTCCTCCTTCCGAGCAGGCAGGGCTGCTTCACGCTGGCCCACGCTCCAGAAGCTGTAGTAACGCTGAGTGCCTCTTAAACTCGGGCCTCTTGGTTCTGGTATCCTTTCGGGAATGCTGTCCTCAGATCTTATTCCAGTTCTCTGCTTGGCTCTGTCCACCTTTGTAGAGCAAATCTGACTGCAGCCAGGTATTTGCTCATGTAGTCTCACAGTCTAAGACGGTGCAGGGATGGAGACGGGGTGGTTCTCAAAGGCTTCCTGAGTGTCGGGCAGCCAGCTAGGGAGTCATCGTCATAGCTGAGGAGGTGCGGCTAGAATTGTGTCCGCTTAGCAGGAGGAAACGGACACTACTGTGCTTAACTGGCAAAGCCAAGTGGCAGAGCCAGGATCTGAACCTATGTGTTTGGATTCCGGAACCTATTCTTACCCATTATGCTACAGGGCATTAGAGAAGGAGAGGCAGAGAGACAGAGACGGAGATGGAGACGGAGACGGGGGGAGAGAGAGAGAGAGAGAGAGAGAGAGAGAGAGAGAGGGAGGGAGAGAAAGGTCTTCCATTCGCTGGTTCACACCCCAATTGGCTTCAGTGGCTGGAGCTGCACCAATCTGAAGCCAGGAGCCAAGAGCTTCCTCTAGGTCTCCCACGCAGGTGCAGGGGCCCAAGGACTTGGGCCATCTTCCACTGCTTTCCCAGGCCACAGCAGAGAGCTGGATTGGAAGTGGAGCAGCCGGGACTCGAACCAGTGCCCATATGGGATGCGGGCCGTGCAGGCGGCAGCTTTACCTGCTGTGCCCTGGCACTGGCCCTTGCGAGCTTTTCTGACCTCTAACAGTGGGACTGAAATAAATCTGTGTATCCACCTTGACATTTTCTTCCTTTCTGCCAAGGAGCCTAATGGTTTCTTGAGCTTGTTTTCTACCAGGAAGTCCACGTTCAAGATTTAGGTGGTGTAGCGCCTTCCTACTGCAAAACCGAATGGAATGGAAGAATGGAAGCTGCGGAGTCACTTGCATTTCGATGTTTTATTTGGGTTTCCCCTTGGGGTCACGGTATTGATGATATCGTCACGTGGTGCACACTGGTCTGAGAGTGGCGCCCTTAAATAGAAGGTGTGACGTAAGAGTCCGTTTTTTGAGGCACACCCAGCATTGGCCCACTCTGAATTCCAGCTTTTGGATCATCTCGCTCCCCCTGCTCTCCCAGGGGGAAACGGTACTGAACGTGCCTGGAAAGACAGTCCATTCTCTGAGGCCGCTGTGCCCGGTGAGTAATGAAGTGTCAGAGGAAGCCGGGGAGAGAGCTGCTTATTATAGACGAGCACCGGCCTGGCCGGCAGGGCGGTAACACACCTTCCTTCTGGTTTCCTCCCTGGGACTGAGAGAGTCTGAAAGGCGGGAGGCTAAGACCTTTTGGAGTGGAGTTCCTCTGGTCCACCTCCTGAGAGTCCAGCAGGACCGCCGCTGGGTGGTTTGGGATGGCCGAGAGATGAGTGCCCTTTCACGCCGGGGACCCAGCAGAAGCAGCTGGGCTCCACTCCGCTGGCGTTAGGATGGGCAATGCCATTGAGAAGCAGAAGCCCCTCAGACGGAGCCCTCTGTGCCCCTGGAAACAAGGTAAGACCGCCCTGCGTCCCACGTCTGGGAAGCACAGAGGCAGCCTCTGTCGGAGCCGTGGCTGCGTCCCAGGGCTGAGACCCCTTCCAGCGCGGTTTAAAGAGAGTCAGCAGGCAGCAGTTAGGGAGCGACGGGTTCACATCCTAGCGGACGGGCTGTGCTGGCTGAGGATTCGGTCCAGCTCCGGCTGTTCTGTTCGGTGCAGCATGTGTGTGTGGGCTGAGTTTTTTTCGGTTTTTAAGAAATATACCAAGTCAAAGTTTTGACATCCGGGATTTGAGTCTTGGGACATTTTTGGTTTACAGATGATTAATAACTGCTGTTAGACTCTTCCCAAGAGTCCAGAGTGCTGCTGTGAAAACAAAACAAAGCCTCCTGTTCATCCGTCCTGGCACCCTGACTTCAGGGCACCTACTCTGGTCTCTTGGGGCTGGTGTCGGTGGCAGCGCCGAGGAGGCGGGGGGAGGAGACCAGCGGGACTGCTGAGCTGCACCGGGGCCAGAGGACCCCTCGTTGCCCCCAGCAGTTCAGCTCTGCTGAGCGGCAGGCGGGCTTTAGTAAGCACGGGACTGGAGATGGCGCCTCTGGTACACAGTTTCACCAGGTCCTCCCTCTCCCTGCTGAAAAACATTGTTATGACTTGTAACAAAACGGTTGGCAACGGTATGAGTAGATATGTGTTTGAGAAAAGAAAAAGTAAACAGGAATAAGATGCCTTGCAGTGATAACGGACAGTAGTTGTCTGTAGGGTCTAATTGCAGGATTTATTTTTTGTTTATAAAATGGAAAAGGAGGTGGGGTGTTAATTGACTGTGGTGCCTCCCTTCTGACTTTCCCTGTTCTTCTGTCTGACGCATTAACTTTGAAAAAGACACTCCTTAATTGTCCTTGATCGATCCTGGTTTGAACAAGACAGCTATCAAAGATGCTGGGAAGGGTTTGGAAAATGTGACTGAACCTGTAGGAGATTTTCGTGGGGGACTGCATGTGTGATGATGGCATTGGGCTTTATAGGAGAATGCCACTGTGTAGAAGAGTTACACTGGTTCAGCAAAATAATAAAGATAAATAAACAGGGATCTCAGTGAAGCAAAATAGGATTAAGTGTAACAAGTGTTAAAACCCAGTGTTGGATGTGTGAGGTTCTCTACACTCTCCTGAATGTTTATGCATATACATATTTATTTATTTGAAAGGCAGGGTTACAGAGAGGCAGAGGCAGAGAGCAAGAAAGAGAGAGAGACAGAGACAGAGGGAGATCGATCTTCCGTCCACTGGTTCACTCCCCAGATGGCCGCAACAGCTGGAGCTGGGCTGATCCAAAACCAGGAGCCAGGGCCTTCTTCCGCGTCTCACACGCAAGTACAGGAGCCCAGGGACTTGGGCATCCTCCATTGCTTTCCCAGGCCACAGCAGAGAGCTGGATCAGAAGTGGAGCAGCCGGGACGTGAACTGGTGTTCATATGGGATGCCGGCACTGCAGACCGGGGATTTAACTCACGGCGCCCCAGCACCGGCCCCCTGAATATATTTTTATGTATTTAAAGTAGTATTAGAGATCCAGTTACTGACTGACGCCATGGTACATTTCTCCTTCAGAATGAGCCTGGGCACTAAGCAGACCTGGTGTGCACCAGGCAGCATGCGGCTCCCTGCTGGAGGCACTACTGCCACGTGGCTGGCTGCTCCAGGCACCTGGAAGAACACTGGCTTTGATCCTGTAACTCAGACGTGCCACTCTTTAGCAGTAATCTAATGCATTACTTTTGTATTGTCTCTGTTCTCCTTAGAAAAATGTGAAACTTGATAAAATTTTCATTGGAGGCTGCTGGGTGTACAAAGAAGACAGAACAAAGGCTGTATTTGGTAGCGTTGTGTTCAGTCATTTAGATGAGAGCTGTGGCAGGACTGCTGCGCCCAGGAGGGGCTCTCAGACCCCCAGTGAGGGCTGAAGAGCAGGTGTCCACCTCTTCCCGGGCCCTGCTTGTGCCCCGATCAGTCATCTGAGGACTGAAAGCTGGGTTTTGTGTTTCGAGTCGCCTTACCCAGGAGCCACAGTAACCGGGGTGTGGAGGAGTCCTCTGCAGTTTAGCTGTTTGCTTTTGTCTTTAAGTTGTTTGTATTTTGAAAACGTCTACAATATTTGGAATTGGATTTAAAGACTCCCAGGGACGCCGCTGGCCCTGACCCGATGCGTTTTCCATAGTCCACGTTCAACATGGTTGTGAAACCTTGGTGGAGGAATGACGGCTGCGGGCTGCAGGCGAGCACTAGGGTCGGGGTCCGCCTCAGGGGCAGGTGCGTGGGGAACCACAGCAGGCAGCTGGGACAGCCCTGGTGGCTCCTGACGCCTGCCTGGCTGGTCGCCCCGTGCCAGCAGGTGCTCTGGAGAGAAGCGACTTCTGCACTGAGGAAGGCGAAGCACAGAATACACCCTGCAGGTGACCTCAGGTCGCTGTGGGAAGTGGCAGAACGGTAGTGTGAGAAGCGCGAACCTCTCCCCCGGCTGTCACCCTGAAGGGCGTCTGTGCCGCTGGAGAAGCTCGGGGCCACGTTTAAGCAGTGCAGCCAGCGAGGGGGCCGACCTCATATTGTCGCTTACTGTCCTGGTTTCTTTTTTATGAAGAAATCGCTCTCAGGACCCAAAACATAAGAAAATGTTTTCATTGTTTTTATGAAAATGGGGGTTTTCTGTGGTTGATAAATGTGAGGAGAAGGTGGGAAGTGGGGGAAGGCAGCGTCACCCCGTGATCCCCGTCCCGGCCAGCGTTCGTTAGCTCTCAGACTTGCCGTGTGACTTTGCACAAAGGAATTCTGTGGTCGCAGATGCTCCCCGCCCTCACCTACAGGGCCTTCACGCGACTGCGTCTCCCGTTGCTTATTTTTTTCAAATCCAGGGGGCAGTTTTAAAAGTGTATCTGTTTCCCATCTGATTGTAAACCAGCTCCATGCCGTCTGCCTGGCTCACTGTTCTGTCCTCAGCACTGGTGCAGTGTGTGGCACTTGTGGCCCCTGAGTGCTTCCTGGCCCACGGTGTCCTTGGGCCAGGGCAGAGAGCCTGGTGGTGCCAGGTGTGCGGCAGATGTGCAGTACGTGGTGGCTACGAGGCTGGTGGTTCCCTGGGTGGGTGGGACCTAGACATCTTCCTTCGTAGCCTTTTTCCGTCCAGAAGAGAGGCTTTGGAGAATGGAAGTGGCTACGCCGTCCTCTGCCTCGCAGCTATTCTGATCTACAGAGTCAAGTTATTGGTGATTATTCACGTTGCAAAAGACGGCTTTGCAGAAGCCCCAGCACCCTGCAAAGACTCCCTCACGCAGATGCCCGAGGAAGCCCGGAGGTTCTGCGCTAAACTGAGCTTCTCTGAAATAGACGTGCGGTTCTGTCCTCCCAGAAGGCAGCTGGCTGGCTTCTTTTCTCAGAGATAATTTGAAGGACTGCTTACAGTGTTCATTTTGGATCTTGGGAGTACAACATTGGGAGAAATTTCCTTGGGAATTAAAAATTGCAGCAGTAATTGCAAATTAAAGTGTTATCTCCTTCAAATATCCCAGCAGCTCGGGGCCATACCAGCCTGGTAAATGGAAATGTTAATAATTTGCATGTTTGTACACAGTGTGGGCGTGAGCGAATGAAATTAACACCCTCAGTGGAGCGCTGACTATAAAAAGCCTCAGCCCACAGCAGGCCTGACTGCGGGGTTTGCGTCGCTGGCAGGGGCTTGGCAGCCGAGGCGGGACTGGGGCCGAGGATCTGCATCGTTTCCACATGCCAGGGGTTCCTCCCTGACGGGGCAACTTTGGAAACGCCTGGATTCCAGCCAGCAAAGGCGTTTAGACTTGCCTCTGCAAGCTGGGTGGTGATGCCCATGGGCCGGGTGGTTAACACTGATGCCCGTGGCCAGGTGAGAGTGTGGATCCCGCATGCGCCAGGCCTGTCCCTGATCGTGAAGATTAGTAGGAGTGCTCACTTCAGAGGACGGTTGTGAGAAATGAGATAATTCATGGAAGGGGGCAGTTAGCCCTTAGCATACGGTACGCATGGAATGAGTTAATGGTGCTTCTTGTTGTCATACAAGCCCTTAGCATACGGTACGCATGGAATGAGTTAATGGTGCTTCTTGTTGTCATACGTTGCATGGCAGGAAGAGCCCTGTGTTTGCAGGGTCCATGGGCATGATCGTGGGCCTGCCCCTGGCCCAGTCCCAGCCAGGTGTGTGAGTTTGGCTAATTCTTGACCCATTTGCCTTCTCTGGGTTGAAGGGGTCACCTTGCCTATAGGTCAAGGTCCCTGTGAAGGCTGTGAGTCCGTGACCATCAGCACTGGTCACTGCTCTCCATCTCAGGACCTCGTTAGAAAGCGTCGGTTCAGCTAAGGAGGTCGCAGGACTGCTTTTCGTGACGTTGGTTTCTGAGAAAATGCTTGCTGTAGGCTCACCAGAACTGAATTACTCTTAGTTATCTGGGTAGCAGACTCGCCAGGAGAGCCCATCGTCCCACGCTGTATACTGTGCCGTTGGAACTTTCTGTCACAGTTTCATGGCGGTTGAAAGTGTGAACTCTGGAGCCCAGGGCCAGGGTGGAGCCCTTGTCTGCTTTCTGGTTGGCTGGCCTCAGACACATTTCGGAATTCATCCGTGACTGGCGCCCCCCCCTCCCGGGCTGGGAGCATCCCGGGCTGGCATGGGCATCGAGGAAAGTGGACATGGAAGGTGGCCTCAGTAAGTGCCTACTTAGTGTTTGGTATTATTTTTAGGTCAAGTGCAGAGTAAATACATTTTACTTTGGTTGAAACGATGTTACAGGTTAAAGGAAAAATTGACAAAATGAGAAGAAGGACACGCACACGAGTGTGTAAGCCTGACGGACCTGCTGCGGGGAGCGAGCCGTTTGGGTGGCGCTGGTTCTCCCGGGAGCTGCTGCTGTGTGCGCCCGTTCTGTGTGCGGTTGTGGTCTTGTGCAGATAGTGCTGTTTGTCTCCCTTGGATTTCATGCTCCTGTGTG